ATGATTCCATTGAATAGATAATACCACATTTATTAGTTGACAGACATTCTGCTTGTTTCTGTTTGGCTGTTACAGATAATGCAGTATGAATATTCATAATAAATTTGGGGTCAGTATTCCTGAATGAAGTAAATATGTTAATTTCTTTTGGGTGTCCATGCCATAGGCATGAAATTGCTGAGTCATTGGTAACATGTTCCGTGTTTTGAGAAAGAATCAGACTGTTTTCCAAAGCAGCTGCATGCATCCCCACCTCTAGTGTGAGGGTGTCAATTTTACCAAATCCTTGCCAGTATTTATATTTGTCTTTATTTAGGGACATAATTAAAATTATATTTCATGATTTTGATTTGCTTTTCCCTGATGGTTAAATAATGATTTTTGAGTAGCCATTTATCATTGAGTTGTCTTTTTGTTATTTTTTTTTTTTTTACTTGTGGCATTTTCCCCTTCTTTTTATTATTGTTGTACTGGGGATATTGTGAGAGTTCTTTCTATATTCTAAATACAAGTCTCTTACTGGATACATGATTTACAAAAAAATTCTTCTATTTTGTAGATGTCTTCTCAGTTTTTTTTTTCTTTTTTTCTTTTGAGACAGGATCTCATGTAGCCCTGGCTGACTTTGAACTCAGATCCTTCTGCCTCAGCTTCGTCGGTGCTGGGATTACAGGCATGTGCCAACACACACACTTACTCTTTTCACTTTTTAAATGGTGCCTTTTAAAGCACTTTTTTTATTTTGATGATGTCTAGTTTATTTCTTTGTATGAGGAAAAGACCTAGAGTCATTCTTTTGCATGTGGCTATACACTTGTCCCAGCACCATTTGTTAAAAACACAGTTCTTTCCCCTTGACATGATCTTGTCACTCTTGTTGAAAGTCAGTTGACTATAGATACATGGGCTTATTTCTGGACTCAGTTTTATTCCATTGATCTAAAAATCTGTGTTCAAATACCTCCTTCTTGATTACTGTTCCTTTGTAGTATGTTTTGAAATTTGGAAATATGACTCCTCCAACTTTGTTCTTCAGGATGGTTTTAGCAATTATGAGTCTCTTGAATTTCCATATGAATTTCAGGACTACAAATTTCTGCAAAGAAGTTGGCTTAGATTTTGATAAGGGTTACTTTGACTGTTTAGCTCAATTTGGAGAGAATTGCCATCTTTTTAATCTTTTGTTGTTGTTTTTTGGTGGTACTGGGGGCTCAAATCCAGGGCTTTGTACATGATAAGCAAACACTCTACCACTAACTGAACTATGCCCTCAGCCTAGGAATGTTGTCATCTTAATAATATGAACTTTTCAGATCCATGAACATGGGATTTCCATTTCCAGACTCAAACAACCATCTTTATCATGCCAGTTCTTCTAGGTATTGATGTTCATTTCAGGTGTGCTATATTTTGCAAGTTTGCATTAGTAGAATTGAACTCTTCATGTCCAGATTACCAGGCATAGTACAGAGGCTTAATTGCTCTTAATTAAAAGATAAATTGAATTGATATAAAATAGACATCTGGAAATTATGCAAAGAAAATAGTGTGAGTAATACCTGTCTTGTGCTTTCATGCTAACCTTTACATAAATGTGGCTTGGTCTATTTTGTGGTTTGTGTAAACTTAAGTTTGTCCTAAATATGTCTGGCATAGGAGAGGGATTTCTTTAGGCAAGCTTGCAGTTCTGTTGCCTGGGGAGTGGGGATGCATGTCAGCAGAGAAGCTTAAATGGCTGTAAAGCAAGAGGTCCTTCAAAACTGCAAAAAATTAAAAACCCTTTTGTTTTGTATTTCTGTGGCATAAGTAGTCCTTCCCAGGCTTGTCATGGTCAGATACCAGTGATGTAATGATGATGATTATATCAGAGGCAGGCAAGCTGTTGGCATGATAGGTAGTAGGGCTCTGGGCATGGTCAGTTTCAGTAGGTATTTCGAGGCCACATGGAGTTTGTTACACTTGACAGAGGACTTTAATGTATTAGTGATGAAAAATTGCTCACTATTGACTATTGTGATTTTCCAGACAGTGTAAGGCAAGTCAGCAGTAAGTACGTGCCTCTTGTGTTGTATAATGTCATTGAATATACACACTCAGACCATTTGTAGGGCACAGTGCTCTGTCCGTACCAGCCTCATTAGTGCTTGAAGTAGAGTAGTTTATGAATAATGTCTAGACACTAACATTATCTACCCTGTTTTTCTATTTGTGTGCTTATCAGTGATCACTCACTTACTATAAACTAGACTTTTGAAAACGGAATATTCTTTTAGCTCATTTTCTTGTTTATGTTGATCTCTTCCAGTTTCTGCTTAGTGATTTGAGCTTTGTGAAGGAACCCATTGTGTGAGCCTAATGTTCTTCTGCTTGGTTGTTGACTTGTGTGAGTTGGCACCAGCCTCACATACACCTTTGGTCCAGAGCAGTGTTTTGGGAGAAGTAGAATAAACGTCTGCTTGTTAGATGTGGCCTTAGGCTTGTCAGGACCTGTTGTTCACCCTCCCAGCCTACCACCTCACCCCTAATAAGTGGTTAGTAGAGATTCTTTTTTTTTTTTTTTTTTTTTTGGTTTAAGGCTTATATCCTCTGTTAAAATTTAAACATTATCATGAGCCATTTCTAATTTATACCTTATGGATAGTTTATTTTGAACAGAGAGTTTATAGGTCTCAGTGGGGGCAGTAAGGAGAGATTGGGAAGGAGAGAACATACAACTTAATTATTGGGGTCTTGGGAGAATGTAGTAGAAAACCAAAAAAACAGGGGTGCCTGGAATCATTGAAGACAGCTTATGCAGTCACTTTTATTTTACTTAAGGGCAGCCTTTTCATGGTTCTCGGAAATGTCAGTGATGACCCCCATCTTCCCCAGGAGGCCTTTTCCTAAACTAAAGGGTTTGTCAGAACTAAAGCTTGTTAAACTATATAGTTCATTGGCTAAATGTAGCCTGCCACTTATTTTGTAAATGAAGTTTTATTGGGACACAATATCTCAGTCTATTCTGTGTTGCCATGACAAATGATACGAGATCGTGTATTCTGAAAGGAAAGAGGTTAAGTTAGCACACAGCTCTGGAGAGTCATGTGTGTGGTGTTGGTACTGGCTTCTATTGAGAGCCTCTTGCTGCGTCATAGCATGGAGCACAGCATAGCATTGGAGCACAAGCAAGTGGTAGGAGAGAGTGAGGAAGATGTTCCACATGGCAAGAGCGGAAGCACGACAGTAAGCAGTGGAAGCCAAGCTTATTTACAGCGGAATGGTCTTGTGCTAGCTAACTGAGATCTGACTTGTTCCTGCAAGAAAAGCATTAATCCTGATTAAAGACCTAACCACCATATTTTATTTATTTATTTTTTATTTCTTTTATTTATATGTGCATACGTTTGGGTCATTTCTCCCCCCTTTCCTCCCCATCCCTTTCTCTTACCCCCTCACTACCAGGGAGAAACTGTTTTGCCCTTATCTCTAATTTTGTTGAGGAGAGAGTGTAAGCAATAATAGGAAGGACCAAGGGTTTTTGCTAGTTGAGATAAGGATAGCTATACAGGGAGTTTACTCGCATTGCTTTCCTGTACATATGTGTTACATCCTAAATTAATTCTTCTCGAACTAACCTTTTCTCTAGTTCCTGGTCCCCTTCTCCTATTGGTCTCTGTTGCTTTAAAGTTTCTGCATTAGTTTCTCTGCATTGAGGGCAACAATTGCTATCTAGTTTTTTGGATGTCTTACTTGTCCTCATACCTCTCTTGTGTGCTCTTGCTTTATCATGTGATCAAAGTCCAGTCCCCTTGTTGTGTTTACCCTTGATCTAATGTCCGCATATGAGGGAGAACATATGATTTTTGGTCTTTTGGGCCAGGCTAACCTTGCTCAGAATGATATTCTCCAGTTCCATCCATTTACTTGCGAATGATAAGATTTTATTCTTCTTCATGGCTGCATAAAATTCCATTGTGTATAAATACCACTTTTTCTTAATCCGTTCGTCAGTAGTGGGGCATCTTGGCTGTTTCCATAACTTGGTTATTGTGAATAGTGCTGCAATAAACATGGGTGTGCAGGTGCCTCTGGAGTAACCTGTGTCACATTCTTTTGGGTATATCCCCAAGAGTTAACCACCATATTTTAAAGACCCCACCACCTAAGTACCATTACACTGGGGACCAAGCTTCCAGAAGTTTGACGTTCGGGGGCAAACCATATCCAAACCATAGCACATACCTGCTCTTTCTCACCTGCACACTGTCTATGACTGACTCATGCTCCATGGCAGAGTGGAGTAGCTAGAGCAGATTGGTCTACCATTCCCTTTCCAAGAAATGTTGGTCAACAAGTGGTCTGGAGAGTGTAGACTTTGGGAAGGTTTTGCATGAATCAAAGACATCTTGAAATTTAGACTTCTTAATCTCTGATCTTGTCATTATATGAGTTACAGGCAGCAGTCCTCCCTACTTGGTGCTGGGGATCTAACCCAAGGCTTTTCACATGCTAGGTAAGCACTATACACTGAGCTACACTCCTAGCCCTGAGGGCAGCAGGGGTTTTTGTTTGTTTTGTTTTGATACAAAGTCTCCCTGTTTAGCCTAGGCTGACTTCTGAACTTGCATTTCTTCCTGCTGAGGGCTACAGTTTTAAAGAAAGATCCACCTAGGTTTGATTCCCAGCAACCCCTCTCCCCCACAAAAAAGAATGTTTGATTATGAAAAAAAATTAACTCCAAAATTTTATTGTAAATGGAGATACTACTGTGTTTTAAACTCAAGTAGAGTGTAGAAGATTGATCTCTGCTTTTTCACATACCTGATAATACCACTGTCAGGTGGTCTCATTCTGTCACAAGAGAGAAATGTTTCAGTGTTTCCCCAGTTACCTTCTATCATTTTTGAAGATCAAGAATTTGTCATTGTAACTTATTTGAATGTAAATATCAATGTAGATATAAAATGTTAATGTTCCTCTTAGAGTATTTTAGTCAGTTATGTTTCTCTTCCTTCTCTCAGCTTGAAGTCCATGGCCCAAAATGCCTCTTCCAGTGGAGATTCCCTTTCATGAAGAGGAAGATCAGATCAGAGGCTGGGATGAGTATGTCACTGCACCAGATCTCTCCCATTCCTCTCCAGGATCCCACTTCCACTAGAATCCATGGAAGCAAGACCAAAGAAAAGGAGAGGGAAGAACAGGTAATGGGAGAATACCATTTTTAGTTTCATTGTTTTCATTAAATATGATCTTGAATAATACTTGAGCACTAAATACTAATAAGCATACAAATAGTTGTCAGAAGACATTGTCTTTGGTAGGTTTCTAGGTTTTCAGATTTTGGTATAAACTTAGTCTGCTTATAAGTGGTCCTTATAAATGACTTACTTCATTAGTTAAGTCTTCCTGATTATTTCTTATAAATTACTAAGATGAAGTTATTTGGATTCTCAACATGATGCAAGCTATACATTTATTTGAGCAAAAATTTAGGAGTTTTTTTACTTGGTTATAACTGGTTTTACTTAGTTATAATCAGAGTTAACACCACAGAACCTGTCTCTACCCTTATAATGCTCACGATCTGGCTTGACAGTTAAATATGTGTAAACCTAATAATGTCAGTGATGGGGGGAATTCAGGACTCACCTCAGCCTTTCAGGGAAAGGCTTTCTGGAGAAAACCGGTCTGTGTGGAGAGCTTCAGCAGTGACCTAGAGTTAGGAGAAAGAGAGAAGGTGGAGTGACCTTGATTGAGGAAGACATTGATTGGGCAGTCACATGCTGACTGCCCAGAGGTTAGGGCAAGGTAAATTTGCAGAGATTAAAGTAGAAAAACTCAAACCCAAAGCTTGATTTGAGTAGTGGCAAAATAGGAGGTTGGAAAAGTTAGCAGGAGTCTGGATTTATCTTTCCATTGGTTGAAATGCCAACTGAGGGTAGTGACAGGATAGATGGTTAAAGTGTGGAGTATTGTTTTTACTAGTTTCATTTTTCCTCAACTTTCTGGAGATAGGAGAATACTCCAAAGTGTTTTTTCCATATTCTGCCAATGAAAATTTACTTAAATTAATAGTTTTTTGTAACCTTTCTTAGCCAGAATGCATTTTTAAATATAATTTATAGAACCTTACTCTGGGTACTTGCCTATACCAAGTTGAGACTGCTATTTCCTTATTCATTGTAGTGTTGAATTTGGATAACAGATGGATGGAATTTCTTGGTGTGTGTCTTGGTGTGTTCTGAGTTCTGAACAAAATGCCACATCCTTGGTGGTTTAAATAACATTAATCCCACTGTTCTAGAAGCTGGAAGTCTGAGATCTGTGTTCCCATTTCCTGACTTGTGAACAGGAAGCAGGCTTTTTCATGTCTTTGCATATATAAGCATTAATCCCACCATAAGGGCTTCACTCTCAGAACTAATTACTCCCAGATGCCCTGTCTCCAAATAGTATCACATTGGCACTAGGGTTCCAACATAGGAATTTGGTGGGAGAGGCATAGACATTTAGGCCATAACAGTATGTATATGAGGAAGCTATACACATTTATTTGAAATAGAGAAAGGAAAATGTCTGACATTTTAGATCAGGAAAGGGCAATTCGTTTTATATATGCTCTACTGCAGATTTCATTGTAGGTGGATATTCAATAAATACTTATTTAATTGCTCTATTTGGTAGGATTTTAACAGTTTGAATAAATTATATTGATTGTTCTATTTATAGGATATGGATTTTGATTGAACGAGAAATCTATCCTGTCCCACCTTCTTGTCAGGAGTAATTTGGACACCTAGTGGTAGCTTGACAGTTCTGTGAATCATACACCAAGGTACTATGGCAGGCAGTGGAACATCAGCTAAGACAGGAGCTTGCAGAACCCCTAAGAGCTTTTATAGCAGGTGGCACAGTGCTGAAAATGGTTCTAAGTTTCTAGGGCCTCAAATGTGGTATTAGGATTCATTGGAAGGTAAATTTGTATCCAGTGGAATCTGTTTTCTTTTATGCTGGCACAAGTTCAACACAAAAATTGTTTGGTACAATTTTTGGTTCTCCTGTGATTGGGAGAGGAAGAGATGAGGGAAAGAGAAGCTCTGCAGAGCCCTTTTCCTCCATCCCAACATCCACAGTTCTCAGAACTACAAAGGTGAAATTTATCTCATGTTATCCCTAAGATGAATTTATGCATAGATTCTCTCTTTATCTCCCATTGCACATGCCTGTGCCTACTATTCTTCTCCACAGAGTTAACGATATTACGCAGTAGTCAGTGTAGTTGATGAATTTGATTTCAGTGGTATGGGAACCACTGTGGTGATAAGAAGAATGTTTTGTAATTCATAAATAATTTCTGATACTCTTACTTGTGAATTGGATAAATGATTCTTAAAGAAAAGTATTTTTTTAGGCTTTTATAGATACTGATCCATTGTTTTTCAGACCCTAGCCTGCATTTGCAACCTGATTTGGTAGTTTTACTTGTATCACCTTAAGAAAAATGTATTCTTTATATTTTTTGGAACAACATTTTTAATGGGTTCATTGTGATACCAAATATATTTTTTAATTCAAACTTTCAAGGCCAATATTTCAGAGTTTAGCGTTACTAAGAACTTACTATAGGCCAGTCTTAAAACACCCTTCTGTACACTTAAGTATAAGATTATTAATGTTTCTTTTGTATTGTTTGTGGAGTACTAGGGATTAAACTCAGGGCCTTGTACTTCCTAGGCAAGTGGTCTACCACTTGAGTCATGCTCCCAGCACTTTTGCTTTTAGTCTGTTTATCTGATTGGATCTCTAGCTTACTTTTGCCTGGCCTAGCCTTGACCTCATGGTGTATTTACCTCTGCCTTCTGAGTATCTGGGATCACAAGTGTGTACCACTACCATGCTCAGCTTTTTTTGGAGGTTATTTTTTTCCTTTTGCAGTACTGTGGATTGAACCCAGTGCCTTGCATATGCTAAAAAAGCACTCTCCACTTGAGCTAAACTCCTTTTTTTGATTTTTGAGAGAGGGTCATGCTTTGTAGCTCAGGCTGGCTTCAAACTCGAGATCCTCCTGCCTCCACTTCTTGAGTGCTGAGACTATAGATGTATACTACACACCCTGGTTTAATGTGTATTTTTAAAAGGCCTAAAAGGAAGTTTTATTTTGAACACAAAGTCAGTGTTTGGCGGTACACATTTCGTTTGACAGTCTTTGTAAGTTGCTTTCCATCTTAGGAAAATGTTCACATCATTTTTCTTATTAACAGGTTGGTTTGTAAGATCCATGGTTAGCAACAGCTTCATTCTAGTTAGTGTGAGGAGGAGGCTTTCATAATGAGAAGCAGAAGCTTACAGAGGAGTTGACGTTCTCCAGGCTTCCAGGGACAGCTAAATCCCAGTATTGCAGGACTGTTCTGCTGAGATCAGGAGCTGACAAATCAGAAAGCTGCTATTACCGCTTCCAGTGAAAACATCTCATGGCCTTTACCATGACTGAAAAAACTGCCCGTACTGCTCCCAGCACTGCTGACTTAGGAAGAGCTGTTGTCTGGAATCACAGTACTTTGCCATGATCTGGACAAACTGAGTGCATGCTCTGCCTTCTGTCTTTCTCCCCCATGTCTTATTTCCAAATCATGCCTTTGAGTAAGAGGGCATTGGATTAGTAAGACTTAATCATGTCCATAAAATACAGTTTAAACTTTCTGCCCTCTTCCCCTTTATAGTGAGATTTTGAAAGAGCCAGTCCACATCATAGAATTCCTGAAAAGGGATAAACAGAAAGGTAATTCAGTGGTAGCTTATATTTAAATAGTAAGCTGCACAGAAAGTGAAAATGGCATTTTTCTTGAATATATTTAGAAGTAGGGCTATTTCTGGCACTCTTGTTTCTGAGGCTAATGGGAATTTTACCATGAAGCATCAGGATGATGGTCATCTAACACATTTATATTTTCTCTGAAAAGATATGTCAATGGGGGCAGCTAATATTATACTCTTCCATACCTGGCCATCTAGAAAGATGGCCTCATAGGTGTTCAAGTGATAACAGTTATTTTAAAGCATATTTGTCATACTGTACCTCTTAGTCATTATTCCTTTTCTCTACCAGAGAAGTCATTTTCTTTTAAATAATAAGAATCTAATATAAGGAACCTAGAGAAAGCCTGAACTTTAATGCTCCAGAATCTGCAGAGCCATCCAGCCCATTTCCCAGTTTGGTGCTTGAGCCTCCTCTGTATCTTCAAGGCCAGCTTGTTTGGGGGAGCCCATGAGGGCATATCCTATACCCACTAATTTCTTTTTTTGAGATATGTTCTTGCTAGGTAGCCTCAGATTTGTGATCCTGCCTCAGTCTTCCAAGTACAGGGATTACAGGCCTATACCACCATGCCAAGCCAACCTACTATTTTCAAAGGGAGTTCTTTTGTATTTTTGGCTATCAGGGATTTGAGATTCCTTATAAAAGCTGTCTGTAGCTTTTTTATTTATAGTTTACCTTTTACTCCTAGAATAAAAATCTCGTTAAGTCTCTATAGTCTGGTTAACCTCTTTTAGACCTTTCCTAGCTTCTTTATAGAAGCATGTTTAAATGAAGAGATGAATATGCATCTTTAAAATCTGTCTGTTTCACATTACTGTCTGGTTAGGCAGTTCTACCTGTGTGATCATTTGCACAGTTCCTTTAGTCATTCATCTGCCTTACCTGCAAGAGTCTCAAGAGATGTATTTGTCCTTTTTCTGTTGCTGTAGCAGAATATCAGAGACTTGAGTAATTTGTAAAGAAAAGAGGCCAATTTAGCTCACAGTTCTGGAGGCTGGACAGCTTCTAGTGAGAACTTCATGCTGCTGTATGCATGGTGGAAAAGCAGAAGGGTAAAGAGAGGAGGGGACAAAGGGGATGGGCACTTTGTAATAACAACCCTTCTCATGATAGCTAACCTATTCTCATGGAAACCACATTAAACATTTTATGATGGAAGATCTCTTATCTCCCATACACCTCTTAAAGTCCCCACCTCCTCTCAACACCATTATTTGAGGACCACACCTCAACCTGAGTTTTTGTGGGGACAGAGCATTTTCAGACCATAGCAGTGTTCTCACATCTGCCAAGCAGGATGGTTTTTGTCATCTGTGTAGCTTCCCTTGGTACCTGCAGTGATTCTTTCATACTTGCTTCTGAGAATGTTTTTCCTGTTTGGTT